CACACACACACACACACACACACACACACACACACACACACACATGCAAAAAGAAAACCATAAACTAGACTCTAGACTCAATTCTTTCATTCTTTGTTCTACCCTTCTCTTGAGACTCTAAAATAGCTTCCCCATCTCATTTAGTTACACAAGTCCAGGTTTGACATTCCAAACATTCTGCTGCTGGTGGACCCCAAGCTTTGTGTCTCATGGGACCCTTGTGAGCTGATTTGACATGTATGGTACCTCATACAATCGTCGTGGCCAAAAAGGTGGGGTATGTGGCTTAAGCCAGTTAGGTCCCAATTTAGGAGCTGTCATTAAGTGGAGTGAATTATATCCAAACCAAATGACTAGAAGATGGGGTACTGAAAAACAGAAGGGACAGATTTTGAAGGTGCATCTGAGAAATGTTTTATGTACGACCACTTCAATTATGATAAGCACTCACCATGTCTTAGTATAACATGTGCTGACTGCTGTGACTAAGGGCATTTGGAATGAGAATTGAGAAATGGACAAGATCTGAAGATGAATACGGCATGGTCACTACTCTTAAGACATTTGACACATAATTTAAAGGGACCATCATGCATAATTTCCTTAGGAAACCAGGTGTTGAGTGTTGACAAACCTGGCTCATACAGCCTCTTTGGAGGGGACTGCAAGGTGATTTGGTAGTGAAGCTTGGTTCTCCTCCTCTCTCAGGCCAGAGTTTCCCAGTCTCTCTGTGAAGGTACCTTACCTGTCTTATTCAACAGATCATGAAGCTTCCAGATTACTGTGACGCTGTGGTAAGAAGACAGAGAAGGAAGTAAACATTCTCATTTTAAATTATTTTGGGTTTTATTAAACTAGTGATTGCCAAGGATGCTAGTACTCATTGTCTATGTTTTCTTGCACTTTCATTAAACAGCTGTCATTCTTTCTACTCATTGTGACTCGCCTGTTTCCCACACCTGTTTTTAAGCAATGACAAAATGACATTAAAAATTCAATCAAAATGTCTATTTTTTTAATCACTCTTTGGCGAGGATGATGAATTAACTCTAAAGAATTGCCTTTTCCCCCCCAGCATGAAGAAGATGTTCAAACCTATCATGACAATTCACAGGGATTCTCTTAAAACACCAAGCTGCACTTGTGTTGCCTAAGGTCACATTTTCAATAGGTGAAGCAATCTAATTATGTGGTTATCTCCTGAACCGCCAAAGCCTGCTCATCCTACAATCTTAGTACCTCCTAAGGTTTACTTAGACATATATTACGTGACACCAAGTGCACAAACAACAAAAGCAAAATTAGACATCAATAAGTCGACAAACTGAACAGCTCCTATGTTAATCCCACCAGTCAAGAATAAGACCACTGCCACAATTTAAAGCCAAATTCTAAGCAAACTTATTAAATAATGGTCAGGTGGATGGGCTCTGGCCAGGTCCATCTCTGGGTTTCCAGAAAAATGGCTGTGAATCAGGGTTTACAGCATCTTAATTATTTCCCATCAGGTTCAATCAGAGCTAAGCATAAATCCTGATGTACCTCCAGCCTACACCAGGGACAAGCATACATCCTGACATATTTCCTGCCTGTGAACCTCCCACCCACATGTGATTAAGCACATCTAGTGCATATAGGTTAAACAAACTTGTTTGGGGGAATGAAACACGTGACTTGTTATCTCCCATAAACAACAGCCTCCAACATTTCCGGAACTATCTGGCCTTGAACAAGAGGCTTGCAGATCAGAGGCATTTTTGTTTCATAGATCTCTCAGGCACAGTAATTAAAACTTAAAGT